GTGTACCAGTATACATACAACTAAATACATAGCTAAATCAGTATATTACATACATACACTTATATAATATGTACATATGCGTATGTACTAAAAACACATTTGCACTCCTCTCCCTCTCCCCCTCTCTCTCCTGCCCTCCCCCTCTCTCTCCCTTTGTTCGTACAATAACTGCTTGTTCGTAGGAGGCACACGTACGCGTACCTCTTGATTGGTTGTTGACCAGTTGACCGATCGACAGCGGATTGAGAGGTTGAAGGGATAGCCAGGAGAGGTCACTGGTTAACTGGGAGCTTGAGTTAACATCTCTAAAAGCACAGGATCTAAAGGGGGATTAAGATATATAGCATATGGTATACAGACACACTTTTTCTCCAAATAAGATTAAAAATTGGAATAACAAAACAAGTGTAATTCAGAACATGTTCTGCTCCTTTTATAAGCCAGTAAAAGGTAAGGAAGCTTGTTAGTTTTTCTGTAGATGGAAACAGTCTAATTCGTGACCTTACCTTCCAGCCAAACTGGGTTTAACATATTTGTCCAACAGTTATTAACAGTAATTAAAGATAGACCATTTCTGTTTGTACTCTCCATCCCTCAGGCAGCAGCAGGTGCTAAATTACCCGCCTTAATTAGTCCTCAAAAACACATGTACATATACGTACATAAAATCAAAGAAATAACAATCATGCACTTAGATTACAAAAGATTGCTCAATACACATTCCCAGTAATTGAAGTACAACGTAATTACATACCAAAGCATAATGCAATTCATACATGCATAATGGAATTCACACATAATATACCTGTATATCAATCTGGATAAGTGTGTGTGTCTTCCATCAATATGTATTCCATCAACACAGCGTAATATATATGAATTATGCAATGACTGAAGTAATATTGGTTGCAATGGTAAGTAAATAGTACCTTGAAAAAAAACAGAGGATAGAGGTGATTATACTATAAGAGTATGATTAAAGCTAACCAGGATATAAGGCAACCAGCTGACCTTCCCTCACTTCCCCTTGGCTTACAAAAACCCCAAGACCTTCAGCTTGAAGACTCGGACTCACATTTAGCGTAAAATTATTAATATCAAATAGACTCTTGATAGCTGATGAGCGTAACGTTTGATATTTGAGTTGATTTGTGTCGGAGAAATTTGATTTAAATGTTAGCGGAGTGAGAGGTTTTATGATGTACGAGAGGGTTTCCAGTTGGGGCTTTAATTGGGATAAAGCTTTGGATTGTTTTTCGATGAGAGAATGTGAATCAACTGAACGTACTAACCTTAGAAAAAAGAAAGAGAGAAAGGGGTAGAAATTTACAATCACTCTAATAGCATAAAACCATATTGGCTTGTATTAACATAGAATCTACTAATAGACTATTAAAATGAAATGCAAAATGCAGTTCATTTGTGCTACCTTGTAGACCAGTTTGCAGCCACCCATGGCACAAAACGATGCTTAAAACTCTTCCACTTCATCTTCCATTATTATCTCTTTTCCTCTCCCTCCACCCTCATTAAAACATATCAAAAGGAGATGAGCATTCCTTCGGAAGCCACAGACAGACAAAAGGTATGCTGTGATGTCACACTTGCTATAAAAGCAGCATAAGAGTCAAGGATAATAAATCATTATACCTTGCACTTTTTCTTCCTCTCTCAGCCTCTCAAAAGACAGCTATCAAGCAACTTGAAGTATCTCTTTCTTTCTCAAATAATGTCTGCTAAGCAAGCCCTCCTGATTGCCTCCATTTTCCTCCTTTCTCTCTGCCTTGAAGGAGTTGCAGCTCAAAGAAGCAGCAAAATAATTCGAGCTAAAAGAAATGTGGTCTTGAAAGGATTTTACTTTGTCTCTGTAGTCGAGAGTGAAGATATAAGCAGTGTCATAAAAGAACTCACTGACAAGGAAAGGAATGGATCCTTCCCTCCTGGATTCAAAATGGAGATCCATGGAAATGCAAGTGAAGTTGCTCATGGTTTCTTTGCTAGATTCTCCGAAGTTGCATTAAATGAAGTGAGTCATTGTAATCATGCATGCACTAAATATTACTACCAGTATATGCACCAATGAATATATGCTTTTCAGCATGGGATTATGCATTGTTTTAGTGCAGTAACTTTAATATTCATTTTGCTGCTAAGAATAAAGCTTTGCATGTTGCTGGCTTGTTGCTCTATTGTTGACAACTTTGTTTGATGCTCACTGGAATGCACTACCAAAATTAGTTTTACTATTAATGCAATAATAGCTAAAAATAGACATGTGTATGTCAATGAGTGAATGCATACAAGTATAGAGAGACAGTCCCTCTCTTGTCAGTGTTGTTGATTGGGCTTTCATTCAGTTTGAAGCAGCTCTCACCTTTTCAATATGCAACAATGGCTCACTGTACTTGGCGTGGCAGGTGCTAAATATATGCAAGAATGCTAGCACAAGTGCAGAGTTCAAAGAACAC